GTAGTTCTCAATTCTTGTGGGATCCTTGCCCGGTTTTGCTATCAGAGTTTTACTAGTTTAATATAAGTTCGGGAGTTTGCCATCTTCTTCTATGCTCTGGAAGAGTTTGTGTAGGATTAGTGTTAGTTCTTCCCTAAATGCTTGGTAGAATTGTCCAGTGAAGCGATTTGGGCCTGGGGATTTTATTGTTGGTAGTCCCTTGATAACCTTGTCTATTTCTTCTATTGCTATGGGTCTGTTGAGATTCTTGATATCCTTTGGGGACAGTCTAGGGAGGGATGGTTTTTTCAAGAATTTGTCCATGTCTTCCAAGTTGTTGAATTCATTGGAGTACAATCCTTCATAGTACTGTGTAATTATCCTTTTGATTCCATTAGGGTCCATTGTAATGTCCCCTCTTTCATCCCTCATTCTTGCAATTGAATTTTTTCCCTCCTTTCTTTGGTTAGATTTGCCAGTGGTCTGTCAATTCTGTTTATCCTTTCAAAGAACCAACTTTTAGCAGCATTAATTTTTCCATAGTTTTCTTATTCTCTCTCTCCTGAATCTCAGCCCTGATTCTTATAATTTCTTTTCTTTTGCTATTAGTAGGATTGTCCTGCTGACTCTGCTCTAGTTGTAGTAAATTTTGTGCCAGCTTATCAATCATGAGTCTCTCTTCCTTTCTCAGTTGTGCATGTATTGCTATGAAACTTCCTTTGATAACTTCTTTTGCTGTGTCTCAAAAGTTTCGGTATATCATGTTCTCATTCTCGTTCCTTTCTAGAAATTTCCTAATTTCATCTCTGATCTGTGCCAGTGCACACTCATTTTGCAATAAAGAGTTGTTCATCCTCCATTTGTTTGGTCTTGTTTTCTTCATCTTCCTTTTGTTGATTTCCAGCCTTATGGCACAGTGGTCAGAGGGAGAGGTCTGTATATGTGCTTATGTTTATGTAGATTCGACTTATGCCCCAGCATGTGGTCTGCCTTCGAATTTGTGCCATGTGGCATTGAAAAGAATGTGAATTTTTTTGTATTTGGATAAAAAGCTCTGTAAATATCTATCAGGTCAAATATTCTAATTGTAGTGTTTAGATCTCTAGTCTCCTTGTTGAGTTTTTTTCCCTGTGATCTATCTTTCTCAGAGAGTGGTGTATATTAGTCACCCACTATAATTGTTGAGGCTGTGATTTCTTTTTTCGTCTTTTGGAGTGTTTGGTTGATGTATTCAGTGGGTCTCTCATTCGGGGAATATATGTTTACAATGCTTAGTGGTTTTTTGGTCTACCATTCCCTTGAGCATTATATAGTGTCCCTCCGTATCTCTTTTTATGGTTTGTACTTTCATGTCAATTTTACCCGAGCTTAGGATTGCAACCCCTGCTTTTTTTGAATTGCTGTTTGTTTGGTATGCCTTTCTCCAGTCTTTGATTCCAGCCTATTTTGGTCTGTAGTCTTGAGATGTGTCTCCAGTAGGCAGCATATTGATGGGTTGTTTTTACTAAGCCAGTCTGTTAGCCTCAGTGTTTTGATGCCTGAGTTCAGGCCATTGAATATCAGGGTTATTATCTCCATCTGTGGACTCTGTGATGTCATCTTATACCTTTTGTGTTGGGTGTTTTCCTACCTTCCTTTCTTATTAGTGTATTATGCGTGTGTGTGTGTGTGTGTGTGTGTGTGTCATTCTTGACTTCTTTCCACCCTTAAGCCAATGCTATCTTGGGGGCTTTTTTCTCTTTGTTGCCCTCTGTGTGAGGTTGTTCTATGTGGCAGCCTCTTATTTATGCCTGGTGAGTGTTGTTCTGCTCATACTGGGTTGGCAGAGATCTTTTGTAAGGCTGGCTTTCTTCTAACGTATTATTTGAGTTTTTCCTTGTCTGGGAAGACTCTTACTTCTCCATCTATCTTGATTGATAATTTGGCTGGGTAGAGTATTCTTGGGTTTGTGTTGTTTTCCTTCAATTTTTGGAATGTGTTACTCCATTCTCTCCTCTTCTTCATAGTTTCTGCTGATAGGTCTGAGCATATTCTTATTTGAGAACCTTCATATGTGATTGTTTGTTTTTCCCTAGCTGCTCTCATGATTTTATCCTTTTCCTGAAAGTTGGATAGTTTAACTATTATGTGCCTTGGTGACTTCTTCTTAGGATTCAGTCTAGCTGGTGTTCTTTCACCCACCTGAATGGTTGCCTGTTTTTTACTCATTAAGCTGGGGAAGATTTCCTCCAAGAATTCTCTCACTGTTGTTGCAGATGACTTCTTTGTTGTGCCTTCCTCCGGCAAGCCAATAATTCTGATGTTGTACCTATTCATAGCATCAAAAATAGCTCTTAGGTTTTCTTCAACTTCTCTGATGATCTTATTAGATTTTTGTTTCGCGTTTGTTAAAGTCTGTTTGGCTGTCCTCCAAGTCACTGGTGCGTTTCTCTGCTTCCTCCAGTCGATTCTCGAGGTCCGTTTTTCTGCTACTGGTGTTTGTTATGTCCTCCCTAAACTCCTGTATTTCCCTTTGGTGTATGGCCTTTATCTTCTCTATCATTTCATCCTTTTTCTGTATTGTTTCCCTCATATCCTGTATGACTCCAAGCAGCATTCTTAAAATTTCTTTCTGTGGCATCTCAATGTCTGCTTCTATGCATGTTGTTATGTTCAGGACATCTTCTACCATTGCCTTTTGTTTCTCCTGTTTTTTTCGTTGAAGTCTTTGGAGCTGATGGCTGTTTGCATTGTGTTGTTTTAGAGGAGCCAGGTGCCATTTTCCCGGGAGTTATAGACCACGGGGTGGCTCTCTCTGGGAGACTTTTAGGAATTCTTCGAACTGCCTACAGCTAATTTCACTATGGAATTAACCTACCACTTTATCCTCCTGTGGCTTCCCTCTCAGGGGAGTGCCCCAGAAGGCTAGTGGGTTGCCTGCTTTGGTGCTGCGGAAGTTGGGCAGAGGTTCCCACAGCAGGTTCACAAGGCCTAAGGCCGAGCTGCCTTAGGCCTTGTGATGCACTAAGGTAGGCAGGAGGAAGTTCCCTCAGTCATGTGGGACAACAGAGGAAAAATAGGAGCTCTCCCAGCCACACAAGCAGGATTTCCCCGGTAAGAAGCTGGCCCAGCCTTGTGGTATCTGCACAGGGTGGAGCTCACCTAATTGGGTGGGGCGCAGGCATAAATGCCCTAGGGCAAGAGTAGTGGTCTGGAGGACAGCAGTGGGGTGTGAGAGAACGGGAAAGAGACAAAGTGGAGAAAAAAATTGAAAAGTAAGCCCACTGAGACTGTGGGGGGACAGAGAGAAGAGAGGGAAACAAAGGTAACAATGTAGCTGAGCCATGATCCCTGCCTGTGGAGCTGCAAGGGTTTAGTCCCTGCCCCAAGGCAGCGGCAAGCTATGGCTGTGTTGAGTTAAAGCCCCTGCGTGGGCTCCAAATGGTCCCGGCTCCAGCCGAGACAGTGGTGGGGCTAAGGTCAAGCCCTAGCCAGCTTCCACTGTCAGCCAAAAGCCCCGGCCTCTCAAAACCTTGTGAGTCTGTGCCTACTTATCTTTATGATGCTCCTCCTGCGATCCAGCAGTGTTGAATTTCCCTCTAAGTAACTCTCCTGGACTGATTTCTGCGGAGTCCCTCTGACGTGTGTTACTCAGTCGCCATCTTCCCGGAAGTCATCGAGACTCTTAACTCTTTATGGGAATAGAAAGCCCTGTCTTTCTGCTGTGGAATGACTTGCAGTTTGGATCTGCCAGCCCTGAGGATTGTAGCCCAAGGCGTAACCACTACACCACCTGGGCTCCAGGGGATGTTCCACGCGATGTCAGGCATTATTCTGTGTGGATCAACTCATGGCAGTGGTGGATGTGGCCATGAAATGCTGGCACTCTTCTTATGTGTCTGCCACTGACATCCCCACCCCTCCATCACCCCCATAATATCTGCACAGGCCCACATGAAGCTAGGCCCTGTCCCAGGGTAGTCACGTCCCAGACACAAGCTGAGTCCCTTCCCAGCACATGCTGCGCAGCCCACTTCCTTGATGTCAGCCCTCGGTGCTTACGGCTGAGGCAGTGCTTGAGAAACAGGTGGCTTTGAAAAGGCCACCACTCACAAGGCCAGGAAGCCCAGTGAATCAGAAATAGGGGTGCAATGATGGAGGCTGGGCTGGGAAGGTGGTGGTTCCAGAGAGAGAGAGAGAGAGAGAGGTGTCATGATGGAGGCCAGCCTGGGAGAGGAAGGGGGCCCCAGAAGCAGATTCGCGGTGGAGAAAGCGTGTGCTTTTCTCACCAATGATACTTTTCCTGTCCTGCCACAGCCCATTGGGTCTTCTCTCCTTAGCATTCAGTGCACCTACATCATTCCTGGAGAGTTCTCTGCATTCAGGTAGCATAGACTCAAGGAGGCATTTCGGCTCTCTGAGACTTGTTTTAATTTCTTCAGCTTTGACCTGAACTTACAGATGAGCAATTGATGAGCTGGTTTCAGTTGTTGCTATTGAGTTTCCCACAGATGCAGCCAATTGGATGCCTGTGTGTTCCATCTGGAGAAGTCCACATGCACAGTTGCTGTTTGTGTTGTTGAAAAGGGACCTTTGCTCTGAAGGAGAGCTGCCTGCAGATGCTGTCTGATCATCCCCTCCCTCCCCAGGTTCCGAGGCGAGCATGATGGAGACCTGTACATCCAGTGGGGCCCCCCATAGGCTTGAGGCTCAGCCTGCTCCTGGAGTCCATGGGGACCTGTGAGGGGGGTCGGAGAACCCACCCCCAGATTCCTCTGGCTGTGTGGCCATTTGTCACCCCGCCAGAGCTTCACCTGGTGTGCTGCCCCTGAAAGGAGAAACCAACCACCCAGGACCGAGTGCTCCACTAGCCTTCGCCTCGCTGCTAGTTTGTCATGGTTGGGCTGTTAGCTCGAGGCCTGCCCCCAGCCCCTAGGCAGCCGCAGACAAAATAAAGCAAAATCCTGAGTCCCACTTGGGTCCTGTCTGTGCCGTACCCCCAGTGCCTGCTCTGAGGGAGACCCCACCCCCATGCCCCTCATGCCCCACTGGGTCACCATGGGTGCTTTTGTGGCAGAAGATGACCGTGTGTCAGCAGCTATGTGTCTCTGGTGGGGGCATGAGGGTCGATTCAGCCCCTGATGGAGCGGAGCTGCCCCGTGGGGTCCCCTAAACAGTGATCTTCAGGGATCAGGGAGCCCAGGGAGGGGTTCAACCACCCTCTTTCTGTCCACAGCCACAGTCATGTGGTGCCGTGAGAAACAACAGCACCGCATGCAGAGGCCTGGGACCTGGCTGCTGCTTTTATGCTCCGAGCCTCACCTGCACCTGTATTATTCCACCATGGTGCTCACAGCAACCCCACATATTAACATGTCCTCTTTGGGCTGACCCTCTTCTTTACCAAGCATGATGCTCTTCTCAAGGCAACGTGTGCCAAGGACATGAGATGAGGTCGCCTCTCGCTAGCTTCACTTCTGAGGAGGACACTGGCCCCACTTGTTCCCAGACAGACTTGATGGCACCCAACACTAACCACCCACAGCCCCTCCCTCTATCTGAGGACCCAGCTCCTCGCATGCCCTGATCACTGGAACACATGCCCATGACTTGGCCTAGGCAACCAGATCCCTGTCCCAAGTTGACGGCTTCAAGGCCGGGCTGCAGACATGAGCACCTGGAGGGGGTGGGGGGACCTGGCCTGTCTGAGGGTCCAGTATCAGGTTGGGGGTGGACATACGGGACTGGTTCTGTGGCCGGCTGTAGGCTACCAATCTCGTCTGCTTGGTACTCCAGCCCTCCCTGAGCTGGCCAGTGTCCCCAGGCCATCGTCTTGAGTCAGGGGCTGGAGCTTGTTCATGAGAACTCTGATCATCTATTGACACAAAAGGGAGGGAGGTAAGAGAGGTGCATGAGGCCTTCTCCTGGCTACCGGCCAGGCACTGGGGCCTCACACATGGGCTGCCCTCCAGCAGCTTCTCCTCCATAGACAGACAGGGCTTTCAGCCCCTGTGAAGATCCGCAGCCTTGGGAACCCACAGGGCTAGTTCCACTCTGTCCTGCAGGGTGGCTGGGATCCAGAACGGACTCCACGGCAATGAGTTTGGTTGGTAGGTTGGCTCCAACGTGGCGCTCCAGTCAGCCCAGGGATGCAGGAGACAGACACTGAGATAACCACAGGTATACAGGCTGCATGGAGAGATGCCTCCAGCGCCAGGAGCATTGCCTTGCCATGAGGCTGGATGTCAGGGGCCTGCGGAGTTGCTTTGCTTGCAAAAAGGCAGACACTGCGGTACCTTGGAGTACTCAGGGAGGAACATGCTGGGGTGGGAGGGTAACCCCCGTAGGACAGAGCCTGTTTCAAGCCAAGAAGAGAGCCAGCCATCTAGGTGGTCCTCACAGCCTGGCTTACCTGACGGTGGACAAGCAGCCTCCAGGAAAAAAGCCCAGGTTTTCCCCAGAGGTGGAGCTCGTAGTGTAGTCAGAGAGGATCCAGCTGCTTATACAGGTGCCAAAGGGACATCCATGTTTCCACCAGTGGTTGGAGAAATGCACTCACCCTGGGCTGTGGGCTTTGCACCTAGCGACCCCTGGTGTGTACAACTTCCCATGGAGTCTCTGGGCATCCTTTTTAAGGATGGAGTTCTCTGGATGTCATCTTTTTTTTTTTTTAGCATGTAAAATATGTTTTCTTGTTCTTTAAAAGGACTCGGGGGTTTGGTTTGAGATCAGGCTGCATGCCCCCTTATCAGTTGATATCTCTCTTGCCATATCAAACTGGCTACAACTAGCAACACTTCACAAAAGCCAGAAGGATGAACAAAATTTTCATTTTGAGAGAAAAACAAAATCCAGTTCTGAGAACAATTAACATCAGTCTGAAATTTCAAACAAAGTGAGGGCTCATATTTCATGTAGCCTTCTAACACCTGTCTCCTCACACAGAACCAGGATTGTGATTTTCCTGACTCAGGCAGGCACTGATACTGGCTGGACGCTACACACCCCACCCCCCTTCCCCAACCACAAAACTCAGGGCCTGTCACTGGGAAATGGTTTGCTGTGTGGTATTGATCAGACAGCTGAGGTGAACTTAGAGCGTAGGTTGTTTTGATCTTTAACCTATGTTCACGGAGTTTACCATCATGTCTGAAAATAAAAGCATTAGGGGACCATACCATCATTTTTCACTTGAAAAGCCTAGAAACAATTTCAAAAAGCTTTGTTTTGTTTTGTGAGGAGAAAATCTACAGGTTTTCATTCGCCTGCCAACATCTGAGGTATCAGGGTGAGACGTCCTGGTCCATTCCTACTGGCCTAGCTGATCTGAAGACAATGAAAGTTTATGGCTCTGCACAGCACAGTCCAGCAGGACAAGACACCCCCAAATGCCTGTATTCAGAGACTTTGAAGCAGAGCAGCACTATTTAGGTGAAAGAGCGTAAGAGCTCTTGATGGTGCCCCTCAAGTTGCGTTGTCATTGCACCCAGTCGCAACTGCCCCAGCAAAAGGGCAGAAACACAGCTTGTCCAGAGGAGCACACTGAACCAGCAAAGGATCTGTACAAACACGACCACTCTGCCGCACAATTGATACAGTTTCCTCCTTGCTACTCGGTGGGTCTCTTTCCGTTTCTCTTCTACATTGTATGGCTTGTGGACATGTACTCACAAGGCAGTTTTGAACCAGCAAGTTTTAGTAAGAAAATAAGGCAACCAATGATGAAACTGAACTGTGCATATAAGGGGCAGTTGGTAAAAGACCTGTCACAGGCATTTCTCAAGTCCAAAACATTGCGTCTTAGCTCCTATTCCTTTGACAGTTTCTGAAAATTCTGAGTTTAACTCAATCTGAAATCGACATTTCGAACTGCCAGTAATTTCTGGCCATGTCATTAGCCAGAAGACTCGAGAAATGCTAGCCACAGTTCTATGAGGTGTAGACAGTGCGCTGGCTCTGCCCAAGTACTCCGTTAGCAATGCCTTCAGACAGCAAATATTGCCGAGACACCTACTTAAGTTCATTGGTTGGAAGAGAGAAGAATTCAACTCTCAGCTAAGTTCCTGAGGAGAGACTCCTCTCTTTCTCTTAAAAAAAAATCATTTTATTGGGGGCTCATACAACTCTTATCACAATCCATACATCCATGCATTGTATGTCAAGCACATTTGTACATTCATTGCCCTCATCATTCTCAAAACATTTCCTCTCCACCTAAGCCCCTGGCATCAGCTCCTCATTTTTCCCCTCCCTCCCCACTACCCCCTCCCTCATGAACCCTTGATAATTTATAAATTATTATTATTTTGTCATATCTTACACTGTCCACGTCTCCCTTCCTTCACCCACTTTTCTGTTGTCCGTCCCCCAGGGAGGAGGTTATACGTAGATCCTTATAATCGGCTCCCCCTTTCTACCCCACCTTCTTTCCACCCTCCGGTATCACCACTCTCACCACTGGTCCCGAAGGGATCATCTGTCCTGGATTCCCTGTGTTTCCGGTTCCTATCTGTACCAGTGTACATCCTCTGCAGGCTCCTCTCTTAAATGCCACTTACCCACCTATTTACTAAACCCCAAACCAAGCGGCTCTCAGCTACTTTGACTAAAGTTGGACAGTTTTCAGAAAAATAAACTAACACAAATACCCTCATCATCAGTAAAGACTAAAACCCACTAGGTCATAGAATATGTAACCCGTTGCTTCTTTTTCTCCCCACTCCACCCCCATTCCCGCTCCCTCCTTTCTTTCTTTTCTTTTCTTTCTTTTCTTTCTTTCTTTCTTTCTTTCTTTCTTTCTTTCTTTCTTTCTTTCTTTCTTGTGTGTTTGTTTGTTTGTTTGTTTTCTAGAAGAGCCTAAGTGAGCGTGAGGCTGCCAGACTGCATGCACATCTATAGCAAGGAAGACTTCTTCTGTTCCACCGACAACTAGTATCAGGGAGGGAGAAAAGAAAGAAAAGACAGATGCCCGACTGCAGGGAGAGCTCTGTGGCGAGCACAACGGAAGCGTGTGCTCCCCAACAGATGGTTCTGCACAGGTTAATATTTTGCTGGTTTTCCTTTGTAAAGGTTTTATTTAATGATTTTTTCAATAATTCAATCCTGGCAGGAATTCAAACTCCAACACTAACAAAATCATCCATCACCGAATCAGTCCCTTTTTCCTTTCTTATACATTTTATTCATGACAGATTTCACTTTGGGTTGTGATACAATAATTAGGAGTGATTGAAGGCTACTGACTCCATCCTGACTTTGATGACACAGTTAAGATTCCAGATTCACATTTCCAGGTATCTAAGTGCCACAATTACTCCAGCCTTTGTTGACATCTCTCTCTACTGAACACAACAATGCCCACTGGTGTCTCTGAAGCACAATTGCATTTGGTCAGTGTTTCTCCAGGTAAAGCAGCCGTTTGGAATTGAATGTGCCTCTTCTTTTTTGTCTTATAAACGGAACGGCATCTTCAGACTTCATTCCACATTCCATCAGAGCAAGTGCAACCAGCACAGGTGTCCTTCCTAATCCTGCAGCACAGCAACCCGGATCCTCATGAAATTTGTTTTTTAAGAGGCTTAGCCAATCATCTGATTACTATCTGATTAGGCGGTGGAGCTCCATCATCAAATGGCCAATCTAGAACATAGATTCCTTCATTTTAAACTGGTGCTTTATCATATGTACCATCACAAACTCGAACCAAAGATGTCAAGCCATACTTCTTAAGTTCACCTGTGAACT